ACAGGCAAAGTGAATAGCAAAAGTGTTTCTCCATGGAGATGTTATTGCTTTGTTTGGAATGTTTCACAGGATGGCATTAAACCTTCATGGAGAGCAAACCAGACCAAGTTACAGGTGAGATCTGCGGAAAGGCAACCCCGCTCACAGTCAGAATGCCTGGTTTTCTAGGTACCGTATTTTTCGGACTATAAGTCGCACTTTTTTCATGGTTTGGGTGTTTCCTGCGACTTATACTCTGGTGGGACTTATATATTAAAATTTTCACACACTGACAGCCGCAAGAGGCTCTAGTCTTGTGTGTCAGTATCTGCTGCTCCTTTTACCACTGTCACTTCACTCTACTGCGCATGTCTCCTTCAGAAAAAGCTGCTGTCCTGCTGCAGGTAGAGAAATATTCAGATGAAAACGGTAATCGGGCAGCAGAAAGAAAGTTAGAGTGAGCGAGAGACTTGTGAGGGACTGGTGGAAAGCAGGAATGGAGAACACAGCTTCACGGCAACCGGGCAGGTGCACCATGCAACTTTCCTGAAGTCATTGGATGGATTGACAAAGCCTGGACTTCAGTGACAACCGAAACCATCCTGTCTGGAATAATTCTAACTGGAACTGATGCTGAGTCTGACGACAGCTACGCAGAAGAGAAAGCAGCTCTCCATTTACCTCTGGAGGTCGCGAAGTTGCCATGGATCTGTAATAATTTAGGATGGAGGATCAAGAATTCAGTGGATTTAGTGATTTGGAGATCGAGAGTTTGGTAAATTTGTTATGTTCTGTTGTTTATGTTCTAGTTATCTGATTAACTTTTAATATGCTAATACCAGACACCTATTCAGCCTGTTGTTCTCTGTTCTATTGTTATCATTATAACTTGCCTCAGTCAGTTCCTGGTCTCTGATTTTATAAAATAAATTTCACCCAAAAAGTGCAACTTATGTTTTTTTTTTTCTTTCTTTTTTATTACACATTTTTTGGCTTCTCCAGAATGACTTAAAGTCTGAAAAAATACAGTATTTTTGAGATATAAATCCATCTGTAATTTAATAAATATAAGGTAGAGGTGTTTAATGTCATACTGTGGAACATCCCAGTCAGTGCAATGACATATCCACAGAAACAAGCAGTCAACAGACCCCCAAACCAAAAAGTCACACAGTGCACCTTTAAAGTCCACTTCTTTGCAGGTGGAGCCAAGTCTTGCCGCTGTTCTTGGCTAAACCACAGATCACTTAGATCACTTATACTTAAGTATTTTCTTTGGAGCTTGATTAAAAGAAAATCTGACAGGCTCCCGCTGCCTTTATCAGGTCTAGACAAAGTAATGAAGCACTTTGAAAACCTCCCATTCAAAACACCGGCCAATTACTGCCCGGACCTCCTCGGGTTGAGCTTAGAGAGCATGGTCCTATTGGCTGAATGTCAATATATAAAGACACAGTGATATTACACGTCTCCAAGGGCTTGCATAAGACTACATAGCATCTTTATAACAACTGAAGCCTTATTGATGGTATTTTGGGCCCATTTCAAATAACTATGGTTAGAAAAAATGTAGTTTCAGTGCCATCTCTCTCATTAGTGACGGTATTCAAAACTAGCTTAAAGGTGCACTGTGTAACTTTTCTGGTGGAGGGTCCGTCCAATGCTTTTCTCCATGGAGATGTTTCAAGTTACGGGTCAGATCTGTGGAAAGGTTGAGTCACAATGCCTGTTTTTCTAGGTATTTCAGCTATAAAACCACCTGTAATTTACTGTTACTGTGGAACATTCTAGGCAGAGCAATGGCATCTCCATAGAAACAAGCAGATGAAGAACTCCCCAACCAAAAAGTTACATACTGCACCTTAATAGAAACTGTAAAAAGAAATGACAAGAAAATCAAACTGACATCTTTATACTTTGAAAAAAATAAAATGCAAATCTTTCTAGTAGGGATGTAACGATATCCTAATCTCACAGTACGATATTTTCACGATACACGTCTCACAGTACGGTATTTATTGTGATATTTTGTGGAGGCAAACAAAATTGTTAATATGCTACTTTTTCCTCTTAAAATGCCTTGACAAGACTTAATTCAAAGATTTAAAAGTGCTTAGAACTACTATTTCTTCATGTAGTTTACCACAAAACGGAGCAAAGGATCATGGTCTATGTAGTTCCCTCCGTTTTTTTAGCTCTTGCTGCACCGTAACAATAAATTTAAGCAAAGAAACTTGTAATTCGATATACGATGATGGCCCACGGTTTTATTGTGAGACTTTTGACGATACGATTGCTAGAATTAAACTAAGCTAAATATGTGACAAAGACTTCAAATTTACATTTTACAGTTTCTCACCAGTACTGCATTTTTGACGGTTTTGAAGTAATACTCATTTAAATTGAGTCGTATTTAGAGTACTTTTTCTCCATTGTTTTTTAATAGATATTCCTGACAATATGTAGTATTTGTGGGCTTCAGCTTCTATTTTATAGGTGCCGTTTTGAGGACTTTAGAGCATTCAAAAAGATATTATAATAGTATTGAGTATCAAGTCTAGTCCTTATTATCGAAATCGAGTTTAAAATTTTAGTATCGTGACCACAACAACTCCAAAATGAACACTTCTTACTGTCCTGTATGCACCTCTATAGGCACTGGGCCACTGCTTTGGTCACCGGAAGTGGGCGTGGCCTGGTTGTGTAGTATGCCTTTAATTAGCGCCTTTAATCTGGGACAACACGCCCGTTTGAGTCACGGCTCTGAGCGGGCCCAAAGCAGATTAACTCGGTGTTTCTTAAACACTTGGAGATCTTTAAGGATATGACTTCCGTGTCTCCTCACCTGCTCCCAACATAAAACTCAAGAGACAGAACAGAGCACGGGTTTGAGAAGTGAAGTTTGAGGACTTTTTTTGAGAAGTTAACAGTTAATATTTAGTAGGATGGCTTGTTTATTTGAATAACCCAAACTATATGGAATACTATGATTGCTTGATTTGACCTTTCAACCTTGAGGTCAACAAAGCCGTCTGAGTATCATGACCTGGGTGGGCTGCACAATTTAGAGGAAGATTTTTATGTGAACCTTTAAAATTCATATAATTTTTAGCAAGTTTCACAAATTATAATATATGATTTCTAAAACTGCAGCTCAAAAACTGCAACTGGTGTTTGGTTAGACCTGGTTTAGTCCCAAATTAGATATGGTTTAGTCCGAGGTTAGACGTGGTTTAGTTCCGGGTTTGATCTGGTTTAGTCCCGGGTTGGATATTGCTTAGTCCTGGGTTACACTTGGTTTAGTTCAAAATTAGATCTGGTTTAGTCCTGAGTTAGATCTGGTTTAGTCCAAAATTAGTCTTGGTTTAGTTCTGGATTAGACCGGTTTCAGTTCTGGGTTAGACCTGGTTTAGTCCAGAATTAGTCTTGGTTTAGTTCTGGTTTCAGTTCTGGTTAGACCTGGTTTAGTCCAGAATTAGTCCTGGTTTTGTTCTGTATTACACCTGGTTTAGTCCTGGGTTAAACCTGGTTTAGTCCAGTCCTTAGGAGGTGTTCAGTGTCAGTAGTCACTATCTATCAGAGGTTCATAAAATCTTGTTATCTATCAAGAATTATTAAAAAGTAATGCTATTTTTTTCAATACCGCAAACATGACAAAACACTTGAAACATTAAAGTGCTTATGTTCGGTCTGACTACTTGTTTGACTAAAACACGGTTAAGATCTTTCATATTGAAGATTTTGGCAAAAACATTCTCACTCATTTTCCCAATTTGGCCATTATCTGACAAATACAAATATAAGAAAACACTTATTTGTTGAATTAACATTTAAAGTATCAGAATAAAATGTGTTTGTGTGTAAATCGTGCTGAACTTTGACAGACTCTCTCCCAGTGTGACGTCATAAGTATGTTTGAACTCTCTTTCGTCACAAATTGCAAACTATAATTAATTTTTGCAGTAGTTATAATCCCACCAAATTGAGTAATTAAAGAATCATAAAATCTGTCATATGCACTTTAACATTTGAGAGAAGGCTGAAATATGAATTGATCAAATAATACAAGAACCCCGTGTTTGCAGAGGTCAACAAACAGATATGCAAGGTACAAACATTTTCTATGACAAGACAGGATCATTTGTGTAACACTTTTGCTCAGTATTAGATGTGAACTTTGTGTCAGTACCAAACTTGGTCCAAGTGAAAGGGCTGCACCATTGATAGAAACTGAAGTAAACAAATCAAAACCACAACCTTTTTGTTGGCATTATAATTGAAACGAATGTCCTAATGAAGGGCTGTTTCAGGACTAAACCAGGTCTAACAAGAACTAAACCTGGACTATATCGATATATCGTATCGTTTAATGTGATGATACAGTATCGATATTGTGGGCTGCTGTATCAATATATCGCCAAGAGTATTTTTTGGTGTATTTTACTAAATTATTTTGTTACAGCTACAGTTTTGTTGCTTGTTTAGAGGAAGTAAACTCAGCACATTTGACATTTTCACTGTTTTGATGATTAAAATGTGGGAGTATGAATTTTGCACAAGAAGCAGTTTAACAAAGACTTTCTGTCACAGTCATGATTTAGCCTTTATTTTTTATTCAACCGTATCGAATCGATTTGAAATATATCGGATCGGATCGAAAGCGCACTGTATCGAGATTTATATCGTATCATGGCCTATGTATCGTATTGGCAACTTCTTAATGATACCCCGCCCTGGTAGTAGGTATCAAAAATGAGATACAAACAGATACTATAACTAGTATCAAAACTAGATACTCATTTAAGCAGGTATTGATACTAAAAAAAGTCACATTCAGAGGACAGAACTTAACCTTTAGAATGATCTTGAGCGGTATCCTTAATATGAAAGAAAGTACTACAATTTAATGTTGAAAATCACGTTCTGTTGTCTTATTATGAACTTATTGTTGTATCCGCACCTGTACCGAGTGTCAAGTACTGCAATAACTACTGCTATTTGTGTGTGTAGGCCTCACTCACCAGTTGACCAACATGGCAGCGTTGTTCCCAGTGAGAAAAGGCAGTTCTCCTTTGACATGTTCCCAAACACATCCGTGGTACAGCAGTATCAAAAAGCTCCAGATGACCATTCTTCCACCCCCTACCCTGCCCGGATCCATGCATTCAGGTCAAAGGGTGATCCTGGGGGGGTATCCCAACTTTTCGCAAATCTGTAACGGGGGCAGTCACCCAGACGACCCTGAGTCATGGGGGCAACCGGGGGTCAGTTTTAAAAGCTAAGAATCGAGTCTTCAAGTTGAGACATCGCGAGTTGCCAAGGGTTACGACGATGCATTTTCTGATGAGGTGTAATCCTAGTTTATCCGATGAGAAATACTCCAAAAAATCCCAAAAAGTTAGCCACCCTCCATCACAAACTAATTGAAATAAACGTCAGTGTGTGAGATCCTCCGGGGGGGTAGCTGCAGTCGTCAGTTCATGCGTGTTGCCGTGGCGATTGGTGCGTGCCGTTGCGGTCGGGATTGGGAGAAAGGGGCGGGGTTTGAGCGAGGATCCCGGGACAGGAAGTAGATGGATTGCACTAAACTGTCCTCCCTCCCTCCTGCTCCACTCTTCTCACTGATGGCAGGACGCAGATTGTAACCGGGGATTAGGGCGGTTCTCAAAGCGGATTTTGCCCAGAGAAAGGAAAGCTGTGTGTGTGTGTGTGCATGTGCGTGGGTGGGTGGGTGTGTGTGTGTGTGCTAGGGTTGCTTGTGTGCATGTCATTTGATTTATTTTTTTTATATTTTACTAACCCTTGCGTTCAGATAGACAGAAAGAAGGCCTCTGCAATTTCAATCTTTTAATAAATATATTGTGGACTAAATTAAAAAGCCCATATTACACTATTTTATGGATCTATTTTATAATGTTTAATCATCAGAAAATGACCTGGAGTTGTGTTTTGTTTCATTCACACATGTTTAACGTACAAACTTTGCATATTTACGCTGAGTTCTTCTCTCAAGCAGAAAACACTCTGACTGTTCCACCTTGTGATGTCATGCGGTAATACAGGAAATGCTCAAGTGTGTTTTTAAAATCATCATCGTCATCAAACTAAGGCCCGCGAGCCAACTACGGCCCTCCATGCCTCTTTGACCGGCCCCTCAGCCCCTCTGCCTCCCACCACTTGAACAGGCAATCCTCAAAAGTTGTCATGGCCTATTTTTTAAAATGACTTTTTGGCAAATAATAACACGTCTTCATCTTGTATTTTGTAGATTTTTTTGGCTACTTTTTATAACATCTACACTTTAATTAGTCTTAATAAAGGACGAAGATAGATCTAATTCATGATGAACGAATAGTCTATTAATAGTTTGGATGATTGAGGCTTAATAAAAGGGGTAGGAGTTAGGGTATTAATTAAGTCATGACTAAGCCTTAAGTCTTTCTTTGTGCTTTATTAAGGCTATGTAGGTGTAGTTATAATAAAGTGTTACAGATTTTTTTCAATTAAAAACAATATTTATATGAAGTATTTATATTTAAATAATTAAATCATATGATGTATTTACATTTTCCGCCAAATTTTCATCACCTGACAAGCTCGAGATCAAACAGTGACAGTCAACGCATGTGCAGAGTTCTGTAGTGCAGTTAAGAGCAGCAAAATGGCGAGTGTTAAAGTACGAAAAGTTGACAGAGTGCCGAGTTTTCAAAGAACAGTGGACGATCTATTACTTTTTTGTTCAGTGTAAGGACCGTGCAGTTTGTCTGATATGTAAAGAAACTATGACGGTTTTCCAAGAATATAATCTGCATCGTCAGGGTCATACAATTCTGTCATACGGCCGACCCGACTCCGGCCCCCGTCAAAGTTAAAAGCGATAATGTGGCCCCCAGAGAAAAAAAGTTTGGTGAACCCTGCCAGAAACGTTCACTAGAATCAGTTGGATAATCCTAGCCCCGGAATTGCCAATTTCTACTGAACATAAAAGTAAAAGGTAGCTGTTAACTTTTTTTTACTTTTGAGAGACAGCCAAAAACAACAAAACACAACTCTGGGTTTGTTTTTGAGGAGGTAACAGCATTTTTAACATCACTAAGGAGCCAAATTTGCATAATACAGGACCTTTAAGGATCAAACTAGGTCTAAACGGGCTAATATAGAATTTTACAAGTTAAAATCATAATAAAATGTTCCAGGTTTCATCAAATATTCTGCAGCAAGTCATTATAATACAAACATAAAGCTTTATCAGACCAGTGCTTTTCGGAGCGTTTTTCAAGGTTGCCAGATAAGAGCTTTGCATACCACATATCTAATTACAGAATTTCTGCAAATTTTATCCTTAGAAACCCTGTACCTGATTTTTGTCTTGCCGCAGTACAGAAATTACAGGTATTAGCAGCTTTTGAGTTCAAAATAAATCCGCTGTGTACTGTATGCATCTAATTGTGAAGTATTTTATTATCCGTATTTTATTATCACTGTGTTGGTAAAACTCTCTGGTCTCTTGAGCGTTGCGAGTGCTCTGAATGAAGAAAGTAAGAGATTAATAACTTTGGACCACTGCAAACCTTTAATTTAGAAACTATTATTAGCTGCACACATTTATCAGCATGTCGCAAATTAAAATATTCACATTAACAAATTGTCATTGTAATTTGTGCTCTTTTTTTCCCATCTTCCAGCCATTTCATTTTCTTTTTTGAGTTTTTTCCTTTCCAGTTTTTGCCTATTACCTTCCAACTTCAACAAAACTGACACACTGGAAGGAAAGCCACTATTTGTTTTGGCATTTGTATTTTGTTATTTTTGGCTTTATTTTTTATTCAGTTTGGATTCACAATCACCTTTTAACGCTAGGTGGGTTCCCAAATTGTCCATAAAAAGTAACAAGAGCATCATTTGGCTTCGACACCCAGCTCTGCCCTTTCTGCTAAATCAAATCCACTCTCCTCTGTGAGTAGATCAAATTGTCCTTAATAATCCCTTTTTGGTTGGAGGCGCTCATCATTATAACGCATTTATTCCCCAGTCTTGTTTACCGCGTGCGTTAACTTGCTATCCTTTTTATTTGTTTGTCTGGCTCCAGGGCAGTACACTGTGATGATGGCGCACTTTTACCTGAAGAGGAAGATTGGGTATTTCGTCATCCAGACATATATGCCCTGCTTCATGACCGTCATTCTGTCTCAAGTGTCGTTTTGGCTCAACCGCGAGTCAGTTCCCGCCAGGACGGTGTTCGGTGAGTGAAACCGCAGAGGCTAATTTCACCAATTCCACAAAGCTTGGGTTTGTTTTTCGAGTAAAGTCCCATTCACACGGAAATTCCAGGAAATAGCCACAACACCACCACTGATACTGTGCAGTGACGTCAAGCCAGGAGGAGTGTCTGCGTTTATGTCTATAACGGAATATTCGGTAGTCGCCATGGTGACACGATGCACACTTTAGCAAACACTGCCAGAAGTTTTAATATAGTTTGAAAACCCATGAAAAAATACAAGACATTTTTAGAAGCCCATGATCAGTTGAGACTTTGCAACGACATCACGCTGGGGAGGGGGGTTTGGCATGTATATCTACGACAGAAAGTTTGATTCGGCTGTTACCATGGTGACAACACTGCCGAGAGAGTTTTAAGGCAAAGTCTGAAAACAATCCCCCAAAAAATGTTAAATGTATTTTAACAACACATTTTCTGGAGCCTATGATGAATCGATACTTTGCCGTGACGTCAAGCTCGGGGTGGGGGTCTGCGTGTATGTCTATGGCGGAATATTCGGTAGTCGCCATGGTGACACGACGCACACATTAGCAAACACTGCCAGAAGTTTTAATATAGTCTGAAAACTCGTGAAAAAAAAAACTTTTAGGAGCCTGTGATTAATTGAGACTTTGCAATGATGTCACGCTGGGGAGGGAGGGTATGTATGTCTACGACAGAATGTTCAGCGGGTGCCATGGTGACACAACACTGCCGAAACGGTTTTAAGGGAAAGTCTGAAAACAAAATACAAAAAAAAAAAAAAGGAAATAGATTCAAACAACATGTTTGAGCCTGTGATGAATCGATACTTTGTTGTGACGTCAAGCTGGGGGTGGTCTGCATGTAAGTCTATGGGAGAATGTTTGGCAGTTGTGATGGTGACGCAATGCACACATTAGGAAACACTGCCAAAAGAGTTTTATTGAAAAGTTTGTTTTGAAAACGAGAAAAATGGATTTAAACAACACATTTTCAAGATCCTGTGATCTATTTAAGTTGGTAGTCCCACTCTAATGTTTGATGTTAAAAAACGTAGCTAGTTTGTAAATGTAATTTTATGTGAGAGAGACTTCTTTAATGGTACAAATCAGCTCACAAAGTCTGTTCTTTATGGTCAGATTAAAATAAATTGATGCTTCAGAGAGAACAATGCTTCTCGTTAGCATCACACCCCAATAGAATGTTGACATCAGCTGCAAAGTATCAATTCACACATGTATCGATATTTTATCTGAAAATAAATTCCTATTTCTATTTCCCACAGAAAAATTGGTTGGGAAACACTGTAATATTAAACTCTGCTCCAAATTCACTCCTATAACCACCGGCCTCTGTGAGCTTCGTTTGACTGAAGCCGAATTCTTTTGGCTGACGTCACACTCCCTCAGTCCACCTTTTTACACAGTTTACGTAAACAAAACCTGTTCTGCCAAAACATGCTCCTAGGTAAATTCTCAGGTCAGGCTGCGTGTGTGAATGGGACCTCATATCACCACTGAACAAACCAGGGAAGAGAATAATAAGTGCAATAACACAGTGCAGGAAGACAGCACTAAAATCATATTAAACTCTGTGTATTGAATGAACCCAATATACTTCGCTTCTCATTTCAAAATTGTGTTTCCTTCTTAATGAAAAACATTATTGCGGTTGGGTTGCCATATAAATGACTGCTGTAGACATTACTAACTGCTGTAGCTCAGGGACACATGTTTGGCAACCGAGTCATAGACTAAATTAATGTATAATTGGGAAAAAATAAACATACAAGTAGTGGAAGTAGTTGTAGTAGCTGCAGCAATAGTACCAGTAATAATATTAGTAGTGGTTTCATTAGCTTAGACAAGACATGAAGTAGTAACAGA